CTTTCGATTGTGGTGGAATACACATAACACAACATGCACCATTTGAACCACTTACAAATGTTCAATGCGGTGGCGTTAAGACCATTTGTAATACTGCAAAGCTGCCACCACTATCTAGTCCCCGAACTTTTTGACCACCTCCCTGCAGAAACCCCAGGCCCGTTAGCAGGCACCCCCCTGACCTGGCAGCCTCCGGTCTGCTTCTGTCTCTATGGGTTTGCCTGTTCTGAACGTTTCGTTTAGATGGGACCACATAGTATGTGCCCTTTTGTGTCTGGCTTCTGCCACTCAGGATAACTTAAAAAAAATTTTTTTTTGTTCATCACACTGGAGGATATGTTTATTGGTTTTAGAGAGAAAGGAGGGGAGAGGAAGAGAGAGAAAAACATCATTTGGTTGCCTTCCATCTGTGTCCCAACTTGGGATCAAGCCTGCAACCTAGGCATGTGCCCTGATTGGGGATCGAACCTGCAGCCTTTTTATGTGCAGGATGATGCCCCAATTGACTGAGCCACCCGGCCAGGGCGGGTCACGATGTCAGGGTTCATCCACGTTGTGGCCTGTGTCGGCACTTCATTCCTTTTTGTGGCTGGGTAACATTTCTGAACGGTAGACCGCGTTTTGTTTACGCATTTGTCCACGGGTGGACATTTGGGCTGTGGGTACCAGAAGTTTTACCAGATGAGCACTGACCACCATGTGTTTGCAGGCGGCCCCTCTCACAGGGCTCGCAGGGGCGGACAGGGCGGGTGCTGGTGGGGTTTTATTCATCATCATTGTTTTTCTCGGTGATCTCTCTGTTTTACCCTCACCCTCAGAAATGTTTTGTCTGGGTCCACAATCGATGTTTTCTTTAAGGACATTGAACATATTATTCTTCTAATGTTTTGCCTTCCCATATTATAATTTTTTTCCTTTTTTTAAATTGAAGTGTAGTTGACATCCAGTATTATATTAGCATCAGGTGTACGGCTAGATGATTCCACGTGTGTGTTCCTGATGATGTGGTCACCACAAGAAGTCTAGTAACTGTCACCAGGCAAAGTTGTTAAGACAATGTTGACCATTTCCCCTGCGCTGTAATTATATCCCTGGGACTTTTTTGTTTAATAACTGGAGGTTTGCACTTCTTATTCCCCTTCCCCTTTATTCCCCACCCTCCCCACTCCCCTCCCCTCCAGCAACCTGTTAGGATTTCGCAGAGAAGGTGTTGGTGACTAAGCTGAAGTGACTCACCCAGGGTCACACAGCAGGGAGTTGGCACAGGAAGGACTGGAAACCATGGCCTTGTGACCCCAGAACTCGGGATCAGCCATACCGGGGAATTCTCCTGTGACTTCCAGGGTCCCGTATCATCCCCCTGGGGTGGTCCACTGGAACATCAAGAATTGTATTGTTCCTTGGTTTGTTTGTTTGTTTGTTTAAATTACATTAGTGTCCTCCCCTCAGGCCCCTGAAGCCAGAATCTCTAGAACAATGGTTTCCAACTAGGGGCGATTTTGGCTTCCTCCTCCCCAGGAGACATCCAGCCATGCCCAGCGGCAATTTCAGCTGTCTACAGGAAGGGGGGCTACTGGCCTCTAGCAAGTGGGGTGCTGCTCAGCACCCTAGGGTGCCCAGGGTGGCCCCCACCACACAGAGCAACCCAGCACTGACAGCCCACCCTCCCTCCCTTCCTCCAAAGCACTTCTACCAAACCCTGGACCTGGACCATTCTGTGCTGAGAAACGCTGCTGTAGGATGGGGGCCCAGGAAGGGACACCCACAGTTTTCAGCTCCCCAGCTGACGGTCATGTGCAGCCTGGGGCGCTTCTCAAACCCGACAGCTTACGGGCATCACCTGGACTCCTCATTTAGCTGTAGGTTTGGGCTGAGAGGTCTGGGTGGGGCCCCAGGCTCCGCATCCCTGACAAAGCTCCCTTCGGTGCCGTGGCTCCTGGCCGCGTGGTGAGTTGCAAGGTTGGAATATGTGTCAAAGCTCATAGAAGCCAAACTGGCTTCATGTGGCTCTCTTTTAATTTCCATGTAAAAAGATAGTTTTCCTTCAGGGAAGAAGAAGGGGTGGGAAGTACACGTTTAGCAATGAGACAATCAGTTGGTTGCTTGAAACTGCTTGGCTTCAAAGGGAGCAGCAGGGAAGTTGCTTTTGCTTTAGGAAATCAAGTTGTGTTCACAGCACTGCATGGTGATGCACAGAGCAGCTGGCCAGGCCAGCCTCTCTCCCAGAGCTCACGGCCACGTCCAGCCCCTGGCCTGGCTGGCTGGCTGGCTGGCTGGGAGCCCCTGGCCAGCTTGCCCAGTAGCAATGACTCAGGCTTTCCACCTGCAGAATGGGACAGATGGCTCTTCCCACCTCCCCACCCATCCTTGGGGCCACAGCTGCCAGTTCGCTGCCCCCCACCCTTCACAAACTCATCAAAGGCAGAGCTTAAAGGCCAGGACCTGCTTTTGTAGGAGATGTGACTGCTGTGTTTTGTTTTTGGTTTCTTTCTTTTTTTTTTTTTTTTACTGCTAATAAACCTCCATTTGCCGCAGCGCAATTAGGAAGTTATACAAAATGTGTATATTAAAAGAAAGGATTAATAACCCAGCCCATATGGGAGAAATTAGCTTCTGTGGACAGGCCTTTTCAATATATACTCCTAACTGGCAGCCCCCTGGAACAGGGCTGGCCGGCTGGGCCCTGGGAACGGAGAGCCTGGGCCAGCAGGATGGGGACTGGCGGGGGGTCGTCGTGAGCTGTCAGGTTCCCAGCTCCCAGTGAAGTGTCCGGGAGCCTCTGGCTGGTCCTCAACAGATTCCTTAAATGCTGCCAAGTGTATGGTTGCTCCTGAAGGAGCCGGTTTCAACGGAGCTCGGGGCAGAGGGAGGGGGTACTCGCCACCTGGAGGTGCAGGCGGGCCAGGAGAGGAGGGTGAGGTTTGGGCCTTGGGCCTCCCACGGCTGCCGCCCCGGCTCCCGGATGGGGAGGTCCACCGGCCCTTGGCACGGAAAGGGCTGGCCCTCCGCCCGGTTCTCGGGCTCTGGGAGGAAGGCCAGGCGCACAGGCTGACTCACCGGCGGGAGGGCCGGCCTCTCCGGCCCACGCTGCCAAGGAGAGGCCTGAGCAGATGGACCCTGCGTGCTGGCTGGGACCTGTCTCCCACCCTGCCCGGGGAGCGTGGCTGAAGACGGCCTCCATTTCCTGTAGGAGAGACCCAGAGCCTGGCTGCGGTGGCGAAGGAATGGGGCGCTCAGCTTTTGAGGTTCAAATCTCAGCCTGGCCTCGTGACCTTGGCCACAGGATGACCTGATCGTTCTCAGCTTTCATTTTCTCCCCAGTTAGGTGTGCATGAATTTTAAATAGAATTTATCGCAAATGTGCCTAATTTCAATATTTCCTTCCTCAGAAGGTTGCTGTGAGCATTCAAGTGTATTGTGGCAGCAAAGCGCTCAGCGTAGGCCCACCCATCCTTCTACCTTTCATTATTGCAAACACAGACGAGACTGTAGATGCGGAGAGATACACAGATATGTGCACCAAGATATATTGGGATATATTCATATCTAATCCCGTCCATCCATCTGTTCATTTTTCTCTTTATCTATCCATCCTTCCATCTATCCATCCTTCCATCTATCCATCCATCCATCCACCCACCCATCCATCCATCCACCCACCCATCCATCCATCCATCCATCCATCCATCCACCCATTCATTCATCTGTCCATTTTTCTATCCATCCATTCGTCCATTTTTCTTTCCCTCCTTCCCTCTCTCCATCCTTCCCTCTGTCCTTCCTCCCCTCCCTCCTTCCTTTATTCCCAAGCACCTCCTACCAAATCCTAGGCACTGTTCCTAGCCTAGGCTCACGGTAGTACACAAAGCAAAGCCCCCCCCCCTTATTGGGGCTTGCATTCTAGTGGGGGGAGAGAAAGACCTAAACCAGTAACACTGTGTGTTGTGTGTCTGTAAGTGGGAAGATCTTTGGAGAAAACAAATGAGGGTAAAGCAGGATAAAGGCAAGAGAGGGAGAGAGACACAGACAGACAGACAGATGGATGGACAGGAAATCGCTGTTTTAACTGTGGGGGAGGACGGTGGAAGGGTTAGGGTAAGGCAGCCTTTCTGAGGTGGTGAATGGAAACCTGCAAGACTCGAGAAAGGGAGCCATGCAGGTAATCAGGGAGGAGCCTTCCAGAGAGAGGCACTTGCAAGTACACCCCCTCCAAGATTGGAGTGTGCTGTGTGTGACCGAGAGATAGGACATTCTAACAGGGTGTCCAACCCGCAGCCCACGGGCCGCGTCTAACTCAGGATGGCTACGAATGTGGATCAACATAAAATTGTAAATTTACTTAAAACATTATGAGATTTTTTTGTGTGTGATTACATGTTGTGATGTACTTAATGTGTGGTCCAAGACAACTCTTCTTCCAGTGTGGCCCAGAGGTGCCTGAAATTTGGACACCCCTGTCAGCTAGGGCGAGTTCCAGGGAGAGAGGTCCGAGTGATGGTGGGGGCCCATCAGGGATGTCTGGAAGACCGAGTCCAGAAATGCAAATGAGTCTCAAAGTGATCCCGTGGACACCCTTCAGGAACTGGGTCCCAGCGTGTCGCACTTGCAAAGGTCCCCGAGGTGTGGCCTGACATCGAATGCAGAAGGAGGGGGTACAGTCTGGCAAAGGCAGCCTTGTATGCAAAGCCGGTTTGCCCATCCTTCCCTTAAAAATGAAATATGTTCTCCTTCCCCTTTCCCTCTGTAAGGAGGGCAGGCCCCTCCTGTCCCTTGATTCAGGAAAACAAAATGTGTCATTTGGCGAAAATTTGCCCAAATGACTTGGAGCACTTTTACAAGAACATGCCATTTGCCGAGTCTGGTTGGCGGGGGTGGCGGTTCCATGCTGAGCAGTGACAACAGGTGACAGAGGCGGGCACAGCATGTCCTAGCTCGGCACAGTGAAATGAGCAAGTCTCTCTCGGGTGTCCTCACCGTGCCTCCTTGTGCTCTGTCCTCAGCCCAGCGGTCCGCCCACGAGCTGCCCATGGTGGAGAGACAAGACACCGACAGCTGCCCAGTCTACGGGGGCCAGCAGATGATCCTCACCGGACAGAACTTCACGGCCGAGTCCAAAGTCGTGTTCACGGAGAAGACCACAGGTCGGGGCCTTTCCAGCTCATTTGCATCCACTGGTGCTGCACACAAACCCCACCTCTGGGTTCTCAGCAGCCCTGACTTGGGAGTGGAGCTCATGGTATAGAGGGTCCCATCCTGCCCTTTTTCTCACCCACGACACCTTCCCTGTGTGATTTTGACGTCGACACATCTCACCATTACGCCAATGTGCCATACTGTGTTTTAGCTCATGCCAGGCTGTTTCACTGGATGATAAGCTTGGCCCTTCCCACCCCCAATTCTCTTTTCTAAATTATTTTTTTCACATAAAGAGGTAAACATTTTCAACTTTTTACTATTATCAAGAAGAGAGGCCACACAGCATGGTGACTAAGTGCGCCTGCTCTGGGCCTGGTTATCCTGGGTTTCCATCTGGCTCTGCTACTTCCTTGCTGTGTGACCTTAGGCAAATTACCTAACCTCTCTGTGCTTGCTTTTTTGTGTGTATAGAATGATAACAACAAGAGGGCTATCACAAGGTTGGACGAGTTACTACATGTCGAACAATTATAATAGCACCAGGTATATTGTAGGCCGATAAACATGGGCTACTTATATTTTTATTATAAATCATGTTGCGATTTATACTTTTTAAGATTAATTAATCTTTTCGACAGGGATCTTCATGGGCATCTTGTTTATTGATGGTGTATTCCTAGCGGTGGAATCCCAGAGAGGCACGTTGAGGGTTTTACATACAGATTGCTAAATCACCCCCCAGAAATCCACAAACCGAAACTCCCACTGATACATGTTGGGACCGGTCTCCCTCCTTCCCAAAAGTGCCATCTTTTAAATTTAAAAAATTCGCTGAAATGGTACTTCCTTTAACTTTGCATTCCTTTGCTCTGAGAAGTCGAATGTTTCTGTTTATTGGACATGTGGTGTTCTTTCTCGCATGCACGGGCTGGCGATGTGTTTTGCCCACGAGGATGTCATCAAGAGAAAATGGTCAGAAGTAGGAAAAATATCAGGCTGTGCAATTACTTGTTTTTATGGGTGCTAGACCTAGTTTTTTCCCTAGTGGACATGATTTCAGTAGGTTCATTTAAAGGGGTATTGATGTTCGGTTCTTTGTGTGTTGCCTTCGGGATGATCCAGAGACACTAATAGGAAGGTGGTCCAGTTGCAGGGTGTGTGTGCTCTCCAAAGACACCTCCTCTAAGGGCTGCCCTTCAAACTGCATACATCGGGGACCTATTGCCACCAGGGCACCTGCTGACAGGAGGAAGCAGAGTGTGGGGAGGGGTGCCCCTTCCCAGTTCACACAAAGCTTCCTCGTGGGATGGACGCTGTGACCGGCCACTTTGAAAGCACTGTCTAAGGTGCAATTACAAAAGGCATTCGGTCAGGCCATGGCAGTGGGGGCTGGAGATGGATGGGTGGGTTTGGAAGTGGTTTAGAAGGCATGCAGCCGGCCAGTGGTGGTGTAGTGAAGGGTAGGAATGCGGACATTGAAATGCAGGCATTGCATTCTAGTATATGTTTGCCCAACACTTTATTTAACTACTCCCCTTTTATTGGGCACGAGGCTGCTTCCAAGTCAGTGCTGTTATAAGTAACTCAGTGATGAACATCTTCAATGTGCTCATTTTGTCAGCCAGATAAGCACTCCTGCTCTTTAGCCAGTCTGCTTGTGTTCAAACCCCAGCTCCACTACTTTCTAGCTGTGTGGCCTTAAGCAAGTTACTCACCTTCTCTGGGCAGCAATTTGCTCATCTGTATAATGAGGATGATGACAATCCTATCTCATAGGGTGGTCATGAGATTAGGAGCTCGTTACTTGCTCAGTACTTATGAAACTCTTGCTATATAGTAAGTGCTTGATATGTGAGCTAATGCTGTTTGTTTTGGTTATTTCCTGTATGTGGATTCAAGGGGGTATACCCATTTTTAAGTGTCCTGGGGGAGGTTTATTTTTCAGGGGGTGGAACAGTGTTCAATATTTTCTATAGCAGGAATTTGTGAGGCTCTGGTGAGTCAGGGAGCAAGCCGATTGCAGAGGCAGAGGCTGTTTGGCATGGGGAAATGCGTTAGTGAACGGGCAGAGGCTGGGAACGGAGAGGCCTTCCAGGGCCAGGTGGAGACAGAAGCTGGAGTCAGCCTGCATGCGGGCAAGGTGACTGGGGTCAGGATGGGCGGTGGGGCGAGAGAGCGCTATGAAGTTTGTCTCTTTGGTGTTGACGCATCGCCTGTACCAGAAAATCATCCTGTTGGCCTTCTGCCGACTTTCACCAGAAGTGTCTGGCTTTAAAATGCCTCATGAGCAGAGGGGGGAGGCTAATAATATACAGGTGTCATGTTACCCAGGGTGGCGGTTTCTGTGGGGCGGGGCGGGGGGGAGCCATGGGGCCATGTGGGGATGACTTAGAGGCCAGGCCCCACCAAGATCCCCTGGAGTAGGGAGCCAGCCAGCTTTGCGCCCCCCAGGGAATTCACATTCTTGTGAAGCTACTTAGGGGATCAGTTAAATGTGTGTTGAATGAATGAATGAATGAATGAATGAATGAATGGCATATATTGTCTAGCTTTTCTTCTCTTGGCCTCTGAAGAAATTTCACAGTCTACGTCTTAGAGGGCAGAACACTCAGCACCTGTTCCAGCTCCGTAAAGTGCCAAGTTAGTAAGACAAGGAATATTGAGAGCTCCCTGTGATTGACCATCAGTGGGCGGGCCCTTGTCTGCCACTTCCCACTGGTTGTCTTCTCTAACCCTGCAGTGGCAGGAGGCAGACGGCAAAGGAGAAGTCAGGGGACTCGCCTGAGGTCATACCCAGCGTCGTCCAGCCGACCTCACTCGGCCTCCATCTCCGACTCTGTAGAGCGAGAGCAACAGTCCCTGCCTCGTAGGGTTAAATGTGGAAACAGGCAGCGCGTACTCTGTGCCTGGGGAGTGCTCACCGAATGTCCGTCACTGTTTTTATGGTCCCCCCAGCATGATCCCAGCTCAGCCCATACACATCGCCCATCGGACACACGGTGCCCAGGGCACCGGCCTCAGCTGGGGGCTGGACAGGCTTTGGGGGTCCGCATGTTGTGGCAGTTACAGGCCCGGCTTCTGAGGTCAGACAGCCCAAGTTCAAATCCATGCTCTGCACTGAGTAGCTCTGGCATCCCGGACAGGTAAGTCACCCCAAATCTGGGAGCCAGCATTGCCCCTTATGTAACATAGAGATGACTGACTTCTCTCAAGAGACGAGAAGGTTAAATGAGATCACACAGATTAGGCTCTTCACACAGAGCTTGGCGCATTTTGGATGCTTATTAAATGTTAGCTTCTATTATTACCATTCTATTTGGCCTGTGGACAGACAGCAGTGAGTAAGATTTTTAGCTCATGGAACCAAGAGACGTTGACAAACATAATAATAATAAGCTATGTGCCAGGCCTTGTCCTGACTGTGACAGTCCTACAGGGTAGCTGCCACTCTCCCAATTTTACCAATGAGAAACTGGGCACAGAGAGGTTGAGTGACTTAGCGCTGGTCACACAGCCGGCCCACGGCAGCGCTGTGTTTGACCACAGAGCCTGCCCCCTTGACTGTTAGCTGTCCCGCTCCGAAGAAGCGTAGAACCAGGCTCCTTTGGCCAAAGGCCTTTCAGCTGCTCCGAGCCCCTGGCTGGAACCATTTTGCAGTGAGACAGGTCCCTGACTTCTGCAGCGGGACCTTGGGGCCGAGGGAATGCAGTTCGGACCCTTTCCTGTGTAACTAAGAACCCCGCCTGAATGTGTCTCCTGGGTGGATGCCAGCAGACAAGCAGGGCTATTTGAGATGCCCTGCACCCCCCGAGGCGCGGCGTGGTGGGCTTCCCTGGGGGATGCCTGGGGCTCCCGCTGGCTGCGACAGACAGGGACTTGCCTTGCAGGGCAGGGAGCTGGCTCTGCTCTTCTGACCCCAAGCACCGGCCTCCCAGCCCAGGGCCGCCTTCGGCAGGGGGAATCCCTGTTGCTCAACTTCTTTTTTCCAAAACGCACCCCCGTTCCCATCTCCACGGACAGCTTGGCTGGCAAAGGCACTGCAGGGCGGGGTGGAGCGGAGCGGCTGAAGTTTTCCGAGGCAGGGGAACCCCAGCTGGTTCTCACATTAAGGGAAGGTGACAGCCTCCGGGGCTAATCTTAGCCCCCACGTCGGGTCACTGGCACCGCCGGCTCCAGCCTTCTTTTTATAGCCGTGGGCAGGAATGGAGTTGGTGGTTTCCACTCCAGCGGGGTGACGAACCGGAGCCCGGTGGAAAACCAGGAGAGGGGCGGCGTGGTGCTCCTTAAGCTAGAAAAGCTTGGCGTTTTGGAAAAGGGCCTCTTATTTATAGCAGCAGCGATAATAATGGTTATTCTATTATTTTGATTACGACTTTTAATTATTTTCAGGACTCCAAGAGCCTTTCTGACCCGGTCCTTGCACATTTGACCAGTCCCTTGCTCACTTGTTATCATGACAGTGGCTTTACCCTGTCCCCAGACAGCCCGTGCTTGCTTCTGTCTTGGGACCTCTGCTTTTGCTTTCCTCCTTAGGATGTTCGTCTGTCTTCATGAGGCTGCATCTACCGGTTTCTTCAAGCCTCTGCCTCTCCTTGAAGTTGGTCATTCTCTCATCCAGCCTGCCAGCTCCTGTCCCATGGTCCTGCTCTGTGTTCTTGCAAGCGATCTTGTCTGTTCATTCCCTCACTTATTAACCAGTCTCCCGCTCTAGACTCTGAGTGTCTTGAGGTCGGGGACTTGGCGTTTCCTCCCGTAGCTGCAGCATCTAAAACAGTCCCTGGCACACAGTAGGTGCTCAGATACATCTTGCTGAATGAATGCATCGTTTGTTTTCATTGTCACACTGGTCCCAAGAGGTGGGTGGCATTAGCTCCACTTTAGAGATGAGATTCCCCAAGCCTCATGGAGGTCAAGTCATGGGCCCCAGGTGAGGCCCCCACTGGTGACAGAGCTGGAATCCCCAGCAGCATCGACCATCAACCCCTGAGTAATCTCTCTTGTCACA